TGCTCTTGCTTGACCCAACTCAGGAACAGAGTCTGTTTCCTTTCCTTTTACACAACTTTGCTTCCATGTGCTTCTCCCCACCAGTTCTTTGCCCAGACAGAAAGAACCTGGACACCACCCGCAGAGGGAGAGTCCAGCCCCCAAGGCCCACTGCCCCCTCAGTCCTCCCCTCTGCCAGAGCCCTGTCTGGCTTCCCACTTCCCTCATTCCTTCCCTTCTCCCCTGCCAGCCTCCGTGGCCCACCCACCCCTTGGCCCAGGTGTCTCTGCGTCCAGCTTTGCTGCTCTTGGAAATTCCTCTATTTCAACATGGGTCTTAATTCGTCTTGGAGGAGTTCTCTGGCCCACCCTGCCTCCCCTCCTCTATTTCTTTTCCCTACAAGCACTGAAAACCCTGGCAATCAACTTTAATAGTTATTAAACAAATTAGAAGAACTGTATAGAGGGATGATTTGACTATTCCGCTTTCTGGTTAAAAAAAAAAAAAAAAAGCTTTACAAGGAAGTCTGAAATAATGCATCTTTTTCCTTGTTGATATGTATTTGGTAATTTTGACTACATTGCCTACATGTAACTGTGTGTATAACATTTTGTAAATAACAGACTCAGTAGTATGTAATTTATAAAAAAAATTTTCAAGTTATGAACATCCCAACAAAGGCTGGTCCTAATCTACATACATTTCTCCAGTAGCAGGAAGCTGCTTTTTGAAACAATCCATTCCATTTTCAAATCTCTCTTACAGAATGTTCCTGCTTTCACAGAGCTTTGGGCTATTTTCCTATAGCTTCTGCTTATCTGGGCTAATTCCTTCCAGAAAAATAAAGAAGGCAAGTGTCTCTTCCTAGGACAGCTTCCGCCTGTCCTACAGAAAGCTGTAAGGTACCAGCTGCTCTGGAGAACGAGAGTCTGGGAAATGGAAGCGACCGTCCACACTGTGCTGTAGGGTGGAGCACCTCGAAGCCACTTAACCTTCCACAAGAATAAACACTTCTTATCAGACTATATTAAGTGCAGGCATTATACACTCCACGGCAGTGATGACCAACCTTTTAGAGAGTGAAGGCCAACTGCAACCCAGATTGATTTGTCACAAAGTGCCAACACTATAATTAAGCCTGAATACTGAAATTTTAATTTAGAAAAAAAAAATCCTCTGTGTTGTCTTTTGTCTTCAAAGAAAACACAGTAACCTGCATGTCATAGGTTCGTCACCCCTACTTTGTCGGAAAGAATCACCTTCATGTGCATCTCTCTTGCACTAACATTTCTGCCCCAGGTTAGTGCAGTACACGGGGCTACGAGGAGTCCCAGTAAGTAATCCCTCTTACGTGTTCATACAGCTTCCTCTTAAAGGCCTCCCTCCGGGCCGCCCGCTCACACATGATCTGCAGAGCGCGTTCTGCCACCCCGACCATTCTCATACAGTGGTGGATCCTGCCAGGGCCGAGGCGGCCTTGGGAGATCTCGAATCCCTTGCCTTCACCTGGGAGAAAGACAGAACGTGAAAAGGGCCCATTACTTTTGTTATTTACACAAACCTTGGGACGATGATGAGCTGTTCTCAATAAAAATGGTCTTCTGGTAAGGAAAAAGCCAATTCTCGGAGATTCATATTCACTTACGGGCATGTTGATTGCTGTTTTTAAAGCCACCTTCATTAAATATGTCAATTGAATTTCATCTTTGGAGCACTTACTGTGCATAAGCTACTTTATTACTGCTTCTCTAGTTACACAGTGGCTAAGACACAGCCCCTGCTTAGGAACTGGAAGCCAGGGGGACAAGCATGAGGGCTACAAATGGAGGGACCACGAAGGACAAAAGAGGGCCAGTCTGTAAACCTCTGCAGCCATAGGGCTGGGCAGCTATCTGCGGCTTGTTGAGTGCATGAGGTGGGAAACAAAACATTTGTGAAAGGAGGGGATTTGCAAGGTTCTTCGAAGGTTAGATGGGAGTCCAGTAAGTGAGAAGGAGTCTAATAAGAGAACCTAGTAACTCTGTATTTCAGGAATACAGTGTTCAAAGTTATTCATTCTTCTACTTGGTATGTAAGACTTAAAGTCAAAAAGCATTAAGGTTTTCTAAAACAAGCAATGGCCTACAGATCAGCACTTAGGAAAAAAGTGTTGCTCCAAATTAGTTAGCTTTTATATTTAGCTATATTTTTTATATGATACACAAAACTACATCTAATATGTAAATAAAACTTTGCCATTCCATGTAAGAAAATTCACAAAATGGAAATTTTTCTTGATAAATGGAGGAAATAAGAAAAGAAGGTATTTAAATTAAAGCCCATCAGATATCTTTTCCAGATTTAGTCCTGAAACTAATAGACAATACTGAAGAATACTTTTACCAAATTTATCTTACCTAGTATTAAATTGGAAGCAGGAACTCGCACTTGATTAAAATGGACCTCAAAATGCCCTCCATGTAAACAATCTATAAAATAGAAAACAAATTTTAAACAAACAAATGAGTTGGTTAAAAAAAGTCATGTATAATTAATCTTCAGGAGTACAAATACTCAAAGAAAGTAAGATCTAAAAGATCCCTGTGTCACAACATTCCTAGGTAGATCTTAGCCCTGAAAATGTAGTATTCAGCAGTCCTAAAAACTTATCAACTGTTCAAATTAGGAAAGATTTTATAAACATTGGCTTCTGAGGTTTTCTAATTCATTCTCTGAAATTGTAGAGCTGTGGAAAAAGAAGATTGGGCTTCATGGCTCTAGCAAGACTATTGTATTTTTCTTCAAACTTTTATGGTATACCAAGGGAATTTTTCTTGGGGAAAAAAGGGTTCAATGTTTCAATTAGTTAAAAAGGAGCTATGTATTCAAATTTCTTATTTCATCATTATGCACATCAACAGCTAAAGAGGCAAAGGGCCTGCTGGAAGGTGCAAACAAGCAGAGCAGGCTCAGCACTGGTGGGAAGCAGAGATGGTACCATCACTCAGGTGCGTCACTCTGCGTTCCCCTTGTTCCACTCCTTACTCTTAAAAATGCTCTGTCAATGAGGCTGGGAACTCATTCATGCTCCTCTCTTCAAAGCACTCTCCTCCTCAGCAAACTCTAAAGATAACCTCATGTGAACTCCACAACTTTTTCCTGATGGAATTAATGGTCAGCCCTCCCTCCATTGCTTCCTTTGGCCTTGGATACAAGGAATCGGAGAGAGGCTGGTTAAATTTTCACACCAAAGATTCAAAAGTGGGTCTGCAGTGGTACCTACCTTCTGAATTCATTTGGTGTCTCTATCAGATGCTGCTGTGTAGCCCAACAACGTCCTGTGTGTAATCTCTAGGGAACTTGTCTGTCCTATCCTGTCCCCTTCCTCAGCCTGTGGGCACATACTAAAGCTGCATTCATAGAAGGTTAGGATGTCAAACATCCTATAAAGCTATGATTTATTTTTTCTGTTGTTCAAACATGTCTCAGTCATATTCAACAAAAGGAAAGCCAGGAAGAAACGAAATGTACTCAGTCCTTTCATAGCAGGCGTCACCTGCTGGCATGCTCCGTAATTTACCTACTTACATGTTTCTAGTTGTTGATTTCCTTCTAGAACGTGTAAGCTACAGAAGGGCAAGCAAATTGGGCTAAAGATTTTAGCAGTGTATTCTGAGAGCCTTAAACAGTACTTGGTGCCCCATAAATAAATATTTGCTGAGTAGATGATCTGAATAACATGCACCCAACAAACAGTATGTGTGGCAGGTAACAAAACTAACCTTGGTTCTTAAAAATTATGTTCAAGAGAAGAAGAAAGGAAAAGCTTTATACTCAAATACGTTAAAACCAAACTTACTGTTTAACAGTTCTTACAGATTGATTGAAAAGTTGAACACGGAGGCAAAAATCTCATCCTATTGTGGATTCCCTTAATTTACTTCGTCTGTATCTATTTTATTAACCCATATTAATGAACAAAAGAGAGAAGACTGGCTAGAGCTGCTGTTCCTTAAAAACAACCTGCTTATACCCAAACAGTAAACCAAAGGAGGGCGAATGTACCACCCTGAACTCCACCTGTATATCAAGAGTTGCCTGGGTCAAAGGGGTTTCTAAGACTACATCTCTTACATTAAAATACTTTCTATTCCCTTCAATGCTACTGCAGATTCTAGTCTTCTGCTTGCTTATGGCTGGGCACTGTGTTTTGTTTTGTTTGGCGGAACCCGGGATTGAACTCAGGCCCTTGAGCTTGTCAGGCAAGCGTTTATTCTACTGAGCCATCTCCTCAGCCCTGACATTGTTATTTTGTACTTACCCATGTAGCCAAAAACTGACAAAGGCCTTATTAATTCTACTCCAGGTGTGTTCATTGGAACCAGAATCATGCTGTGTTGTTTGTGCCTACTGAAAAGAAAAACATAGGAAAAGTTTGCTAAGAGAAAAAATGGAACAGATGTTCTGCAGAGACACAGGATGGTAACTAGAGTGACAGATGTGTAAAGGACGTACTTAGCACAGTCTGAGGCCGGCTGTGATCTGGAGTGAAAGCAGTGATTCGGGAATAAGCCACAGTTGTTGGGGGTTGCTCACTGCTCAGCAATGCTAACTGGCAAAGGATACACAAAAGCATTCCAAGGCTGCTGCCGCCTTTGATCCAAGCATCTAATCACTTCAATACCATAGGCAATTCCGAGAAATGGATCTAGTCACGCAACGCAAATTGCTTGACGGTTCAGTAACACTACCTAATGCCAGAAATTCTGTGAGAAGAATATACAGCAACATTCTCTAAAACGTTATCCAGATCTCTCTTTTAGCAAAGTATCTGTGATCTGCAAATATTTAACTGCAGTGTATTTATATTATTATGATTTGAGACTTCAAGTAAGTAAATTAAAAAAAGAAATCCAAAGGTCAGCTTGTTTCTACAGAGATTTCTCTATCAGGATGTTTTATTACCTGGACATAGCTGGACTTTTAGTTCTTCCCAAAACAACTGCAATTTTGCACTTGGGATCCCCAGCTCCTAAAAATGGGGAAATGAGAGAATACATTATAAAAGGAAATTTAGCATTTGACATTTCACCCAATCCTTCCAAGTTTGTCTCTGACAAAAAAAAAAAAAAAAAAAAAGCAACAATCAACCATCTTTGATTCAGTAAATTAATAATGCTTTTTATATACCATATCACTCACGAAAAATGCTTAAGCAAGGAAAAGATGGGAATCTATCAATGAAAGTTGTTATACACAAATAAATAGCAGTTAGGGTCAGCAAGATAGCTCAGCAGACTAAGCACTTGCTTAGGCAAGCAAAGGGACCAGAATTCCATCCCCAAGACAACAGGCCATGCCAACCCCGCTGTCAGGCATTCTGAACTGTCCACCGAGACCAGGCATGGTGGTGCACACCTATAATCCCAGTCCTGGGGAGGCTGAAAACAGCAGGATCACAAGGAATCAGAGCTGCATAGTGAGACCCTGTACCAAATACATTAAAAATGGACAAACAAAAACAAAGCCAAAGAACTAGTAATCAAAGAAACACAAAATAGCTCTGAACCCTAAGAGAGAAAGGTAGCTATCCTGTTCTCACTATTCAGATGTCAGCATGCTGGAATGGATGGGAAAGATATACTTTCTATAACTATGTGCTATATACAACATAAATTATATATA